GCTTCCCAGTTTTGTTTGATAGGCACTTTCTAACTCCATAAGCTTATATAGGTTATTTAATTTTCTGTTTCTTACTTTCCTCACTTATACACGATGGGATAATAAACGGGTCATTGTAGATTAAAGATATAACTCATGTAGTTTTCTCATTACATAACACATAGTCAAAATTCAATAACATTAGATATTATTGTTGCCATTCTCTTCTGTATCCTTAATACTAAGGAGAGTGCATAAAACATAGTAAAATTTCTATCAATATGTTTGAACGAATGAATGAAAGAGTAGCACAAAGAAGGGATGAGAACTTGGAGAGACTGAGCTCTAGATTCCAGGATTTCTGGAACCAGAAAGGACCAGAGAAGAAAGATAGCAATAGAACACTGATATGATGGGTGGGAACACAAGAAGATAATTTACTCTCAATCAAAGTGCTTTGACTTAGCAGGTTTTTGTTTCAATTGAGTGAAATTTTAGCAGAAAGAGCCTGGCATCCCAAACTCTCCCAACAAAAGATCCACAAATATTCAGTGCAAGTAACCAGAGACATTCATTCAGTTTTCTTTAATTAACTCATCCATTGCACAACTGGAGCTAAACTATTTAATATGAAATTACTTAAAGATTTAGCATATTAATGTGATGAGTTTTTATAGAAAAATTTCATGGAATATTAACTTCATTGTATCCTGGGTGGCCCCAAAATTCACAATAGTGAGACCTGAGTATAATATGATGTAAGAGAGTGCTAAAGTCATTTAAACCTTCTCTGTGCATCATCTGGGAGACCTTTTAAATCTGTACAAAAATTTCCACCTAGAAAATAAAAATACAAGTAACTCTCTGTGATTTCCACAGTGGAGTCTAGTCAGGATAAATAAGATTCTATTTTTATTAAGTTGATGAATAGTACCTTTTTTTTTTTTGCTTTATTAAATCCTGAGGAATTCATTACTGAATTAATTTGTTGTATTTACTTTTATAATTTATCAAAATAATGGGTTATGAGTTATTTTTGCAAATAAGCATATATTTATTCCCCTTGGTACCCAATCAAGGTACATGGTGAGTTGTTATAAACAGGACAAGGGAAAAATTGAATTTCATTTATATTCTTTTTATGATTTGTCATCTTTTCAAGTCAACAAATTGTGCTTCCTGTCCAAATGCTCAACATTTTATTTGAGATATATTTCAATGTTAGTGCAAAATATTCAGATACATAAGTGTGTTTACAATTGCATGTTAATTCTTTACTATTTGATATATACCTGAAATTCATACATATAACTTCCTAGTTCACTAACAAATTTTTCCAAAGCTAAGAATGTTTTAAAAATTCCATTATGCTGCATTGATTCTAAACTTTATATTCATATTTTTCTTGCTCTAATATTTCTTTTTGCTGTTTAGATTTTTTCCTATATTTTCATCTTTTTTTCTACTTTTTGCCTTTATTATTTTTATGGCATAATATTTTCTCTTTTAAGTTTATTTCTGATTTTTAGTTTTAAAATTTAGATTGATTTTCTATATATTCTTTTATCAATAAAAACATGGATACTTCCTTCCTCTAAATTTTGAAAACTAAAGAACATTTGCTTACACTGAAGTAGGAAACCTGGGAATCTTTTGCAATCTACTTTTTTATAGCCATTTGTTTTGTACTTAGTTATAGTTTTGTCATTTTTACTTCCACATTAATAAGGATTAAATATAGCCAGGCTAATACTAGACAATTTCATTTCTTTCAGCAATTCAAAGGCCTGCCAAATTCCTCATATAACTAATTAGCACCAGTGGAATAAAATCCATCTGTCCTTGCCTTTGTGAGTTTGTCTTAGCAGATCTATAATATAAGGTTATAAGACATTTGTCTTATGAAACCTGATGGTAAATGTCAAATCCTACCTACATTGTTCAGGTACCATTTTATGGTATGCTCCATGAACAATGTTTATCTTTTTACCATTGGAACAGTGCTACCAATAAAAATAACTTCAACTAATGCAAATTATTGATGTATATTAAAATGTGCTGCTATTATGCTTTGACTACATTGTACATATATGAAAATACACTGAGCAACATGTGACACATAAAAATGAATGAGATTGGAACAATCTGTAGGTGCTTGTAAATTTGAGTGAGAGGTCACATACACAATTATTGTGAAAAGGGGAAAATGATGTCAAGTCTTAAGAAATAATTTGGGAAGATGTTTTGTGAGCTGAGCAAAGGAAACATCTTGCAGTACCAGAAAAGACTTCATATAATATGATGATATTTAAGCAGAGACTTAAAGAATGGGTAGAATTTGGGAAATGGAAGTGGGAACATATGAGATTTTCGTGTCATGATAACATATTTATTCAGTTCTACAACATATCAGGCCCTTGTAAACATTTGGAATGTCTTATCCAATATAAGACTCACAATAAATGTTTGAGACGAATATTCAGCCTTATTCCATTTCACAGATTTTTTATTAAAGGAGGAAATGAAATGGTTGCAAAAGTTTAATCATTAATTGAATAACCTTCCTGGCCAAGGGAAAAGAGCACTGACTACCCTGAGGATGTTATCATGATTGCAGAGTATAAAGTTGAGTAGAGTAAACCAAAAATGAAATGTGGGGAACATTGTTGGGACCAGAGCATTTTTAGAAACCTAAGAAAAAAGTTAATGAAGAATTGCCTAACATGGAGGAGTTGAGGAAAATACATTGTTTGGTATTTATTAGATTATTTCTAAGGAAGCACCAAATGTGTGGGCCCAATCCTCCAGTCTAAAGGCCTTTTTTACATCTGTCACAGACTGATCTAGAGTGGTGGCAGTATTTATCAAGAGTCCGACTGCTGTCCGACTCTGTATTTAATATCTCTCTCCCTCTCTGTGTAGTAAGGTTCAATGTCCAAGTTCAAGTTCAAGGTTACTGGGACCATTCACTGCAAACCCAAAATTGTACCCATCTACAATAAGTAGTTATTGAACTTAAGAGCAGATGATGGATAAATAAACGCAGAATAAAAAATAACTTCAAGATCTCAAAGGAAGAAAACTATGTGAATATAATTGGTGTGGTGAGGAAAACACGGGGAGGGAGGAAGTAATACATACAAACATATATTATATGCATGTATATTTCAAGATATGAAGGCCCAGGGATTGTGCAATGAGCAAAAAAAGTGTCAGAAAAGGAAATTGCTAAGAAAAAATATGCACAATTTTCTTTTATTTTAATATGAGTCTTTAGCATTTACCAACAATTTTAATTAGTTCAACAGTTTAATTTAATTCCATGCTCTCTTTAATATTATTGTATCTTTTTGAAATTTTTAGCAATATTTTATAGAAATGTGCTAAATGGTTTTTTGCTCTTTCTTAATTTATAATATTTAATAGGATTGACCATAATTAGACCCAGTATAATTGTGATGTTATAGAACCACTAACTATATATATTTGAATATTTCAAAAAATTATGGAAAATACAGTTAAAAGTTAAGTTTACTTTGACACAATTTTTTGAAATCATGAGTACAGGGGATCTTCAAAAAGTTCAATTAAGATGATTATGAAAAATATATTTAAAGATTTCAAATTTTTGCATAAATATCAGCCATCTTTTAACTCCATTTTCCATGAAGTTTTTATAATATCCTCATAATTTATGAGTCTTTCAATTATTGGGCTTTTCCTGTCTTTTGAATTAGACTAATTTGTAAAGAATAAATAAAGTAAGAAATACTTATATCCACAAATATTTGAAAATGATTAGCCATAATAACTAAAGCAATAGCAATTGTCAATTGCTTGCTTATCAGTCATATCAAATGAGTGGCTGTACCAGATCAGTCTTAATATCTTTAGTTAGAAATTAGTTTCTCATAGTCATCAGAAAGTTAAATCATTTAAAAAATCCATTGAAAATAGGAAAACATGCTGAATCAATAAGCAGACCAATAAGCAAACTAAAATCCCAAGTATATGAAAGCTCAGGGTTATGAACATATATTAACATAGAATTAATATCAGAGAGAGAATTGGCAGATATTTTTAGGTAACTAATTTGGAGTAACAATTGTCAATTTGATCTATCCTGTTGACAAATAAGTAATTAATATGGTATAATTTCCAATCTGGAAGTTAGGGAAATGTGTCTCATGTTTTCAGATAATTCATAATAGAGAGGATATGTATTCTATGTGTTCTTTCCGGTTTTTGTCTATAGATTTGTAAGCTCCTGTATGTCCTGTAAAGCATACTTTTCTCTTAATTTGTAATACCCCAAACTTTCAACTCAATAATCGTACCTTAAAAAGTGGCAGGGAATATCATTATATATTTAGAATTCTATAAAGAACTATATTGAATAGGCTGTTTGTATTAATGTCACATTAACATGGAAAAATAAAGCAAAACAATAATAAGTGATAAAGAAGTAGCACAGTTAAATGATAGATTAAATTGCAGAACAAACAAAATTCTCCTTCTGTTTCTTAGCTACAAATACAGAACTTTTCTGCATCCAAAAAATCTGAAAATTTTTCCCCAAGAGAAGGAAGTATAATAACCTAAAATTTAAAAAATGCCTATATAGAAATGAAAATTGATTTCAGTATTGTTCAGTTGCAGAATTGCCCATTTAGTAATGTGTAATATGCTTAGACCTATTCCAAAATGTGGTAACTGAAGAGATGTAAGCATTTCAAACTGGGAGGAAATAAAAAGAGAGAAGGCCAAATAATCCAGTTCTAAGCTTCATCTTCTGTTTTTATTATAAAGACAATAAAATTGTAAGATTACTATCGATTTCAAATAATAACAATAGCAATCACAATACCTGAAATATACTACATCAAAGTTCCCATTAAAACTCAAAAAACAACAAAGCTCATATGCCATTGTTTCAATAAGGCACACACATTTGCAGAAGACGCATCCCAAAGGTTCATATTTATTTTTCTAAAATCATGTTAATTTCTTATTTATTTCAGGCATTACTAGAGACTCAAAATTTACTGCGCACTCAGGTTGCAAATTTTACCTTCAACCTTGGATTTTCAGGGAAGTTTTACCACACAGGTAAGAAGGAGCTTTGTGTTCTCAGGCAGCCTCAGATAAATAGGAGTTAGGATTTTAAGTGTTCCATAAGTAGGAGAAATAGAATGTCTGAATTGATCATGGGAGAAACTTGGGTACTTTATATAAGTAGCCAAATCCAAAATCAATGAGCTTGTTTGCTTTGGCAAATACAATTAAAATCAAGGTCAAAGAGGATGAGAATTGATTTTTTTCAACCTGGTAAAAGAAATCATAACTATTGTTTTAAGTATGACTGCACAACTAATTTTTTAGCATAGTCTACATAGAAAGCATAGAAATGATGATGATGATGATGAAACAGCTACTACTAATAATTAAAAGTATATTAAATCATGCAGTTGTTGAGGTGATGAGTACTTTAGTATGTATTACTTTCCTTTGGAAACATGGGATGGGAGAGAAATTGAGTAGGACCTAAGAGATGTCTTATTAATTTAGCTTCGTCTATAGGATTTTTCCCTAAATTTATTACTGCTAATTTGACCTAATATCCATTAAAACCATCACAATTAGGCTTATATCTCACCACCTCTTTCCAGCCACATTTGCATTTATATTCAGTGTCAGTCTCTCAACAAATTCTCAAAATGTGATCAGTGTTTATACACTGTTCTATGTTCTGATATTTTTCACCTCCTTCCCCACCTCAACTCCAGATTTTGGCTGTTATTTTCTGAATATGAATATTTTTATGGCTGGTGCTAGTATACAGAAAACTCTTCATAAAATTGATTGCCTTAGAATATGATAAAAAATAATACAAAACTGTTTCAGCCTATATTAAACGAATATCTACAACCTGCACCTTTTTGTGCATTAGTGCTGTGAACTGAATGTTTGCTTGGGACAGTGCACTGTGGTTCCTTCCTAAAGTTAATCCTTCATTTTCATAAATGTAACTTGTTTATCTAAAGGGGCTTTTTAATGTAAAAGCTCACCATGGTTTATTAGAATATTGAAGTAGCAATATCTTATTGGCTTTTCCCTGATGCTTTTTTCTCCCTGCTTTGAAACTTGTAAATCTGTCTAAAGTAATAGAAGGAAAATTAGTATTTAGCCCAGTTGATAAATCAAATGATTGCATAGTTTTAAAGGACATTTTGCAGAAAGAAATTTGGTTCATCGTATCTGCTGAGGCATAACCAATTGCAGCTTACAATTTTGAAAATAGATATAGTTTTGTAAATCTTCTTCAAAAGCTCCCTCAAGAAATGAGTTCAGCCTAAGAAACTCTGACTATGAAGTTATAAAGCAGATAACTATAAAGCCTGTACTAACTCGTGGAGGGGAAAATTATGGTATTATTTGGGTTCACACACAAACAATGCTATTTTGTCTTCAATAGCTCTGTCAGTGTACAGCGAGCCATTCTTTCAGCTGAAATATATCTGGATAACTATCTCAATTTCTATTTACTTTTCATACTCAGCCCTATTAAGCCTTTCAGATACTTGCAGAGCTAACGATGTTAGAGGTTGGTTCTAACACTTCCCCTTTCTTCTTTATAACCCTGAACATGTACACAGTTCACATGCAGTAGGAAACAAGCAACTGCCAGTCAACAATATCACAGGGATAATGTGAAGGAATACACTCCCCCAAGTCCAGACATATTTTAATTACATCTCTTAAACAGACTTTATTGAGTTTTCATATTAGAACTAATCTTAACAAAAGTAACAAGAGACATATTGCCATTATGCTGTGGTGATAGTGCACTTTAGGGAATAAGCAACGTATATAAATTTGTAAATCCTGGAAGCTTAATTTCCATTAGGTAAATATTTAACTTTTTTCTAATTGGTAAGCTGCTTTATTTGTAGTATCCTTGAAATGCATCCATAATGCACTTCAAGAGGACAATCACATTATGTTGAGTACTTATTCATGTACTTGGCAGTTTCAAAGTTGCTTCCAGAGCTGAATTACCCTGCAGTGAAACCCAGTATCAGAGGGCATTGTCTCACCTCTATTTAGACAGATTCCTATATGGCGATCTAATGTTATAGAAAAAGAGACTGCAAATCAAGGAAGTGTTTTCCTATGTGTGCACCTGGCTGTGATGTGAAACATGAAGAGACGGCCTTGTCACAGTGACTGTCTCAGTTCTCTCCCGGATGATCCGATTTCCCATGCATAAGGATGCTGATTGATGAGCCTCATTGTTTTGAAGACATTTAATCACATATGCCCAGTGTAATAATGATTGATTCTACATTTCTTAGACTGGTTTACTTATTTGTATTTTTCATGTATTCTTTCCTGTTCAGCTTCTCTGTCCTTCACATGCTAAACACAATCTCACCCAAAAAGGATATATCACTAAGCCTTCTCTAAGTCATTCACCCATGAGTGCCAAATCGAAAAAGGGAGGAGACAGTGCTGATTAAATAGAAATAAATAAATAAATAAAAACATGGAGTTTCAATGAAATATTTTAATCTGGAAATTTTCACAGCTTTATGTGAGTTGCACAACAAAAGCTCAATTGAAAAAAGATGAAGAGCTGCTAATTTTATTTTTCATGGAACATGATTTTTGCTGAAAACCATTGCTAGTCTTTGAATTAGTAACTTGAATATGAGCTAATCAATGGTTAATTCATTGTGAATTGGGTTGACACTTGTTTTTCCATTAGTCTATTGTATAAAAATAGCCCTTTATATAGAATTACCTAATTTCAAACAAAAATTTACCTATTGTTTTGCCTTTCCATATAAAGCATTGATTAAAAGACTACATATTGGAAACAGACTGCTTGTGTTCCAACCCAGTTCTGATATTTTACTAGCTATGTGGACACAAACACACTGCTTAAACTTTGTATGCCTCAGTTTCCATACCTACAAAATGGGTATAACAATAATATATCTCATCTTCAAGAATGTTGGCAGGGTTGTAAGTACTAACTGTTCATTAATGTTATTAATTTTAAAATAATTTTAATAACATTCAATTACCATCAAAAATCAGCAATGGATAATTCACATTGTTTTATGTCTCACTTTGAATATAGCTTTTAATCAATTTTTATTATCATGCAGATTTTTATTTGGTATAGTATTTAAAAGTATTTCATTCTTTATACTCACCTATATTATTAATAAGAATTAATATTTTGCACTTTATGAACAAATATAAGGCAAAAATTCATGCAAAAGAGATATCATCAAACACTGGAATTTTATATGTCTTATTTTAGCATTATAACAGTACCTTTAAGGAAATTAATCATGGTTTAGGACTTTTTTTAAAGATTTATTTATTTATTTGGAAGTCAGAGATACACAGAGAGGAAAGGCAGAGAGACAGAGAGAGGGGTCTTCCATCCGCTGGTTCACTCCCCAGTTGCCCACAATGGCTGGAGCTGTACTGATCCAAAGCTAGGAGTCAGGAGCTTCTTCCAGGTCTCCCACGTGGGTGCCCGGGCCTAAGGACTTGGGCCATCTTCTACTGCTTTCCCAGGCCACAGCAGAGAGCTGGATCAGAAGAGGAGCAGCCCAGACTAGAACTGGCGCCCATATGGGATGCCGACGCTTTAGGCCAGGCATTAACACGCTGTACCACAATGCCAGCCCCCATGATTTAGGTCTTGATAAAATATTTTTTATTTTAGCAGAGGAACTTTTAGAAGCATGCTATTATCTCAAAACACAGATCATCGAAAAGTAATAACAAAGTAATTAGATCTCTATTATTTTACTTCTGAATTAAAAGTACTTTTTATTAGAATTTATTATTATGTATGTTTTATTAGAATTAAGAGAAGTAAAAGAATATCATTTAAAAATAAAAATAAAATGTATTAATTTTCACTAATGATCTAGATTTTAATGTAGATCAGGTTTGAATTGAGAGACTCAAACTGAACTTATATTTTAAAGATTTGTAACATGGTCACATATGAATCACAAATTGTATTTCCACATGTAAGTCAAGCATACACTGGGTATAGAAAAATGTGTTTTCATTGAGTTAAAAAATTAATATTTTCATTTAGGTGGATTTGAAAGCATTTGAAATTCTGTTGTGATCACACAGCCTCACTTGGTTTTATGGTTTTCGTTAAGTTATTTCCAGTGTCAAGGGTCTGACTCATATAACTTTGTATTATAAAAGCAACATAATTTAATAGAAAGGCAAACAGAAGTGAGTTCAAGGTGTATGTGTAAAAAATGTTTTAAATATCACTCTCAACCTTGTGGAGAATGTTTATAAATTAACATAATCCCTGATATAAAAATTACTAAGATTTTATGATCAGTCATGCATTTGTTTATGTCAACGGTCTGCAAAATTTTCTCGCAATTGAGTAATTTACCTCCCTGGTCAAGTAGGCAGTGCTTCCTGCCACTTGCAATAATGATTATTGGAGTTTAAAGTGAATGAAGCCTTTCTCACATATTTTGTATTCAAAGCACAACAGAATGAACTCTGATGTTGGGTGGAGGTGGAAGAACTATCAATTCTTCCATCATATGTGACTTTGGCTCTCTAATCTGTTACCCAGTTTGCTCAATTACAGCCACAAGAAGCATCTTACCATAAACACTATAAGAGGGTGTGAAAAACTCTTTGCTTGGATCTCAAAGCTTGATATTCTTAACATATTAACAAAAGTCAATGATTTTTTTGTGAATATGTAATACTAAATTTGAGCCAGCTTTAACAAAAATCAAGCATTCCGCCTGCTCTTCTTAGTCATAGGACTTTATCACCTTCAAAGCTTCTATATTCTCACTGTCTGTGGTAGTATTCAAAATGCCAGAACTCTAGTTAAAACTGGTGGTACTGATACCTATCGAAGATTATGGAATTACAGATGGGATTCCAGGAACATTGAGTGGGTATAAAAAGATAAACAGACAAGCATGCACTCCGATGGTCATATGAAGCAGCCAACATCCAATGAAGATCAAATTAAATATTTTGTCTATCCACCACTCTGTAGAAGGAGCATGTTAGAATACAAGTTAAAGGAATCTGGTTCCTGACTAAAAATTGTACAATGTAGGCAGGGAGAATTTTGAAGAACAAGTACAAATCAGGAGATAGTTTTAGGAAGAGGGAGATCCTAAAATTTATGAAGCATTTTCTGTTTGCAAGTCACAATATTAATTATTATACTTTCATGAAATGTTAGTAATAGAGGAATTTGGGTTTGGTTCATACATTGTGACAAATATATAATAGTAATGTAATGATAGAGTAAGCTGGATATGGGATATATGAAGAACTGAACTCTATACTATTTCACAATTTTTGTTTTATAAATAAAAAGCTGGGCCGGCCCCGGGCTCAATAGGTTAATCCTCCACCTGTGGCACCGGCACCCCGGGTTCTAGTCCCGGTCGGGGCACCGGATTCTGTCCCGGTTGCCCCTCTTCCAGGCCAGCTCTCTGCTGTGGCCAGGGAGTGCAGTGGAGGATGGCCCAAGTCCTCGAGCCCTGCACCTGCATGGGAAACCAAGAGAAGCACCTGCCTCTTAGCTTCGGATCAGCGCAGTGTGCTGGCCACAGTGCACCAGCCACAGCGGCCATTAGAGAATGAACCAATGGAAAATGAAGACCTTTCTCTCTCTCTCTCTCTCTCACTGTTCACTCTGCCTGTCAAAAAAATAAACAAACAAACAAAAAGAAAAGCTAAAAAAGGTGATTAAATAAATTGATCACATTGACACTTCACTAAGGGCTTACGTTTACATTTATTTACATCCTCATTTTAAACTAGCAAACTTAGACTCCTAGAAGTTAGCTTTTCCAAGATCACATAGTTAATTAAGTGGCTAAAGCAGATACTACACTCCAGGTATTAAGTTATAGTAAATATGTATTTTAGCCACATTTACTTATTTAATGATATAAAATCAAGCACCATTCTGTAATACATATTGTTATGAAAGAATAAACCATATACATACACTCTACGCTATAAACCAGGAATTGTTATTTTACTTTCACAGTTAAGTATTTAGACAACAAAAAGGAATAGATTCTTGTACTATTGATGCAGAACATTTTAATTAAGCTGGAAATTATGCAACTGTACAAAATCTGTGTGATCATTCAGCAAAAATATTCTTGGAGAGTTACAATATGTTAAATTCTCTCAGACATAAGTTTTTGTCTTCTTTTTCTTTCTAAGTATTTGTGGTATAGAAAAGAACATTGAGTATGTTAAAAAATGTTTCCAAATAGCAAAAGAGAAAAATATATTGATTATAGATTCTTTTTTTTTTTTTTTTTGACAGGCAGAGTGGACAGTGAGAGAGAGAGACAGAGAGAAAGGTCTTCCTTTTGCCGTTGGTTCACCCTCCAATGGCCGCCGCGGCGCTGCAGCCAGCGCTCCGCGCTGATCCGATGGCAGGAGCCAGGAGCCAGGTGCTTTTCCTGGTCTCCCATGGGGTGCAGGGCCCAAGCACCTGGGCCATCCTCCACTGCACTCCCTGGCCACAGCAGAGGGCTGGCCTGGAAGAGGAGCAACCAGGACAGAATCCGGCGCCCTGACCGGGACTAGAACCCAGTGTGCTGGCACCGCTAGGCGGAGGATTAGCCTAGTGAGCCGCGGCGCCGGCCCTTGATTATAGATTCCTAAGTCAGATTTCTAACGTAATCAATTATAAAGTTCATTGCTAACTCTTAAGAAATAGTTGTATCAAAATGGAAAATGTGTGTATACATTAAGTTTAAAATGCAAGGATAATAAGTATTGGCTAAGAATTAAACTTTTAAAAAATAAGGAACAAAGATTTTAAAGATAAATAGATGTTTCTACAGCTATTTCTGGGAGATGGCTTTTTGGGTTGTTTAATTTTTGTTTTTAGCTTATATATTATTTTTGCGCTTTCCATATTTCTTCAAAATTATATGTTACTTTGCAATTAGAAAAAAGTAACAAACCTCATCAGATAAATTTTTAAACTCAGTTTAGACCTATATACAGGAAAATATTTAATAGTAAAAAGGAATTATCTCTGATTAGGTTTGCTGTATATAAAATAAAGGAAAGCAAATGATAATTTCTCTGTAGATAAATTAGTGAAAAAATAACCATCTAAAATTAGACATGCTTTCTGTTACCACCATGTGCTAGTAATTCTAAACAGTATCAGTGACAAATTATTCCTAAATTATAAATTACCGGTTTGCACCCAGGACCAGGACCACACCCATCCCAGCCCTTCCTAAGTTCCCACCCACTGCCTCTGATGTGATTTAGTTTGTATTTTCTTTTTTTGCCCTGATTAAGGAACTCAAATAATTTGGTCTATGTATTGGTAGCATGAAGGATAGCATAAATCTTACAAAAATAACCTTTAAGCTAGTATGGAATTTTTACAGAAGCCATTTTTCACTTTGTTTTATAGGGACTGAAGAGGAAGATGAAGGAGATGACCTTTTGCTTAGATCTGTGGATGAGTTCTGGTGGTTTCCTCACATGTGGAGCCACATGCAGCCCCACCTCTTCCACAATGAATCATCTTTAGTGGAGCAGATGATTCTCAACAGAGAATTTGCACTGGTGAGCACATTTTCTTGCAGTATTTTTGAAACTATGAGCTGTGATCCAGTAGTGAATTGTAATATCAATTTATTGGGTTGGATTCGATAGGAATGGAAAAGGCTGCTTCACATGCATTCAGGTAGAAATAGAAAATCAGGGTGCCTCACATGCGTTAAAGGTACATTTTGCTTTGCAATATTTTGTTTCAGGAAAATGTGTGTGCGTGTGTATGGGACCATGTTGTGACACTTCCTGTTTTGTGAGAGGATTTTCTCTTGCATCTATGAAAAGGAAACATTATAATTTCTTCATTGTGTTCCTGGTACAATATAATTAACCAATCCAAAATCATTTCAAATGTTAAGGACCTTTGGGCACAATTAAGACCTACTTGGATTGCCCTCATCCGTTATCAGAGTACAGGGTTTGGAGTCATGCCTGTACTCCCAATTCTGTTTTCCTACTAATGAACACCCTAGAAGGCAGCAGATGATGGCTCAATTGCTTGGGTCTCTGTTACTGGCATGGGGGATTTGAATTGAATTCCTGGATTTTGGCTTCCACCTGATCCAGCCCTGGCTGTTGCAGACATTGGGAAAGAGGAATCTCAATCTCTCTCTCTCTCTCCCTCTCTCTATCTCCAAAATAAAATAAATTTAAAAATTTTTGAAGTTTCATAGAAAGTATTTGTGTTAAGAATGAATGGATGGATAAATTGAGATTAGAGCTATGACTCTAGTGTAGTGACTTTCAAATTTAAAACACAGATTTGTAAACCCTGCAGAGTTTCTATTTGAGTGAGTTTACAGATGGGGTCTTAGAATCAGCATTCTCAAAACATTCTCAGATGATGACCATGATCTTGGACTAGACCTTTGAGAATCAGAACTCTAGACTACCGGGAAAACTACCGCAAACTACTGGGCTACACAAGAACTGCTGCTTTTATGATGCCTGAGTTAAGAAAGATTATGCTAATTGTTTTATATTTCTAAAGATGGAAAATAAATAAAAGGAACAGCATAGAAATTATAAATTTAAATTTCAAGTTCCATTAATAAAATTTTATTGGAATACTCGCCACATTCATCCCTTTAGATATTGTCTATAGCTGCTTTCATGCTGAAGCAGCAGAGTTGACATGTTGCAGAAATCACATGTCCCATTAAGCCTGAAGTATGTCTATCTGGACCTTTAGCAAAAATATTTAGCAAAAATGCTCTAGACAGCTATTAGTCCACGTAACCTTTAAGGGTATAATGAAAGACAGAATCTTTTTCCTGAGACAAATACTCAGATACACATTCTCACATCTTCACACAGTGGGGCAAATGGTCACAGGGATTTGTGCATTCCCCGAAGTTAAAACCCCAGTTAAAGATCAGTGCTGTAAGGAGTTACAAATCATGTGCACAACGTGATTGCTAATACCTTCATTCTTTCCTTTTTCTTTCTTTATTTTCTTTGTTTGATTTTTAAATTTTAGCTCCCACATATAAGGGAGAACATGCAACATTTATCGTTCTGGGTATAACATTTCATTCAACATGATGGACTCCAGTTGTGTCTAGGTTGCTGCAAATTGTAGAATTTCATTCTTTTTTATAGTGGAATAATATTCCATTGTGTATATATACCATATTTTGTATGAATATTCATCTGATGATGGATGCTTTGGTTGATTGAAAATTCTTTTCTATTGTGAAAAGGGCTACTATAAACATGGTGGTGCAGATATCTCTTATGTGTTCAAGCCTTTTGGGCATAACACAGTAGTGTGATTGCTGGATAATATGGAGAGTCAATTTCCTGTATATTAGGAAATATCTGCACTGTTTTCAATAGTGGCTGCACTAACTTACATTCCCACAAACAGTGTATAAGTGTTTCCCTTTCACTACATCCTCAACAGCAATTGTTACCGTCTGTGTTTTGGATTTTAGCCATTCTGACAAGAGTGAAGTGATATCCCATTGTGGTTTTGATTTGCATTTCCCCATCCATAAAAATAAGAATGATAGAATCAGCTACCTCATAAGACACATGTAATATGCTTAAAGCAGTGCCTGGCACACAGTAAGCACTCAATAGTTGCAAATTCACCAATTATGACTTTCTAAGTAGAGCTTAATATGCAATTGTAGTTTACTTTCTATAAAGTAATTTAAAATATATTTGGATTTAAAGAGTTCTATCTCCACTTTAGGGAATATTCTGTAAGTATTGTACTACTTCATAGCATTGCAAAATTTAGTAAACATTTCCTTTTCCAAAAATAAACTTATCTTAAGTAAGTATGCTCAGTTCTTTCAGTGTGGTTACTTTGAAAGTAAAGCATGTTTATCACTTGACTTAAACCTCCCCCGCTGCACTCCCACTCCGAAGCCTTGCTTTTTAGGCATGTAGGTTATATTTCACAATGGCTGATTTCACCTGTTTGTGTAATTTCTTTTTTAAAAGTCATGCTGAGAGCTCAGGGAAAGACTCAGCTGTAATTGCTCTGTAATGAAATGTGGAAAGCTATTGAGAGTCCATTCAGAGCAATTACATTTGTTTAGTCAGCGTAGCTAGAAGCTAGGCTTAAGCCTATAAATATGTGTTGTAAAAAGATCTTACATAGTCAAAACATTACAACCAAAATACACTCTGTTAAGCACACACACTGAAGTGATGTTGTGTTTTTACTTCTGGAGCTCAGTACAATCAAAACTCAAGGCAGTGGCATTCAGAACCCCACCTTTACTGTCAATGGAACATGACAACACATGTGCTGTCCAGACAACTAAGAAATATACTTTTATTGAATTATTATCTTTCCACATTCAGGTGATGCTTTCAAACCATCACCAATATCAAGAGAGGATAGAATAGTGGATAGCACTAAAAAAGACACTGGCAAACTGACGTTTCATTCTAAATACTAATAACAAATTCCAATATAGAAGCCTATGGTGTCTTCATGTCTTTCTCTCCTCCTCTGAAATGACTCCCTTTTTCATTCTCTAACCTACAAAGACTGTATATAATTAATTTACATGAACTTATCAGCTGAAGAAAAGCACTAGACCAGATAATGCTGCTCATCAATTCCAGCTTTAAAATTCTGTGATCATTGACAACACAGGTCCACAAATTTGGAATGAACATCTTGAAATACTCATCTAGCTGCAATTGAAACAATTATGGGAAGAGATCTTCAAACTAAATGAGCAATTTATACAGATAAAAATCAAAAGTATCTAAATCCCTTTTTAAAAATTCTGTGCTGACACTCCTCTATATTGCTTTGTATGACCTTGGCTGGGACAGGAATTGTCAATCTCAAAATCACAGTTCTTTCTCATAGCATTCTTCAGCTTGACATTGATATTTCAAAATAGTTCAAAAATCACCCATTCAGAATGATTTTATTTATTGAATTTATCTGAATTCTTTCTTGATAGATTCATTTTCTGCTGCACTGTGCTTAAGAATTGTGAAAGCAACATATTAAAATATTACTTCTACACATTTAACCGTGTTCTAAGAGTCCTTATTAATATAAACCATTGCCATTGCTTAACCCATGCACATATGCATGCAGAGAGAATGTGTGTTTGTATATGTGGGTCATGTGTTTTATATATATATAAACAAATTTACAAGAAAGATGTTCATAGTGTAAGTTTGATGGGTATGTATGTTCAATTCATGTATGTGTATATTTGTACAAAGGGTGTTAGTCTAATTATAAGCACAGTCAACTAAGATATGGTAGTTAAAAGATACTCTACTTGGTATGATAGCATAGAAGAAAGATTTTTTTAATATTTTTCCTTTAATAAATCATAGATCTTGGCTGCCATTCAGTTGCTTGAGCATGTCAATAAATAGAAGCAAAGCCTTAAATATGGCAACAAAGACTGAAGAGAACTAAAACACTGGCCAACACAATGCTATTAATGAAAAATCACAATATCACTCCTGATTGAACCTAACTCCCCTTTTCAGTCACAGAAAGAAGAGTTGCCTGTAGCATAAAGCTGAATTATTTAGCTGTATTTGACAACAGACTAGTGAAAAACAGAAATAAAAAATTGTGTTTTGTTTTCTGAAGCTTTACATACAAACTCATTAGGGTTTCCAAGCCAGGGGAGTTATTCGGTTGATTAGCAGCTGGAGAGTATAAAATAGCCCTAAGGGATGAAGATCAACACTTTATCTTCGCTGCTGACTTCAGTAATGATGCAAACAGTTGTTGATATTTTATGGAACAATAGAGTACTTTTTTCATGACAAAAGGAAGTTTCTTGAAAGAAAAACTTAAGTTTTTAAATTATACTTTTAAAAAGTGTACCTATTTATGGAATCTATACAGTTTTTTTCATAACTGGGCACAATGCTCATGAAGGGAAAAATTCTGACATTTAAATTGTTCTCATATAAACACAAAGTTTTTTTAAGAGAAACCATGGAAAATTCTTAAGTGTCCTAATAGACTGCAAACTCAATCAGCCATGTAGACATCATATTAAAAAGAAATTTAAAAAATGTGATAGTGTTAATGCCACTATTCAGTGTAATGAGATGAAGCTGAGAGAGCCACATTTCAATGCCTGTGTTGCCTACATCTTTACAGGTTTTTGCAGTATACAGCTTTGAGCTGCACAACAAATACATGAGTAAAAAATAAAAACCTAGTATTTAAAGTAAGGAATTTACAAATACAAAGAATACTTAAACTAAAATAAAATTATGAATAAATATTTTCCGAATAAAAGTTCACAGTGGAGTGATTCATATATTTTGGACATTCAATAATGAATGAGTCAGTATTTACATTCAGAAGAGTGACACACATATGCATGAAAAATTTAGACTAAATCTTAACAACAATATTCCAAGAATTATCAAGGCACACTCACACACACATGGAATACTCTAAAACATGTGACAACATGGAATATCCTTGAAGACAACATGTTAAATGAAATAAGCCATTCACAGCAAGAAAGATACTACATGATTCCACTTACATG